AACTACATATTTACAGTGATAAATGTAAGACAACTACTTTAGAGTTCATCCTTGCCCCAGAACCCCAGCCCAATTAGGGGATAGGATCAAGACCCATTTTTTTTTACCCATTGAGAACAGCAATACCACATTCGTGCAGAAGGAGCAGAGGAGTAGGCAGCTTTCACTCCAAGATCCCAGCCCAGTTAGGGAGTGGGGTCAGCACCTGTTTTTTACATCTGCTGCACCTTGCATATCATGTAATTTCTGGATATTGCCTCCAAATTCTCACCTGTCTATCCCCTGCCACCTATTGACCCAGTAGATTTAGGTATATAGGAACTGAACACCTGTTCACTGTGAGGTTGTGGAAGTGATTCCTTCCACACTCACATCACAAAAGAGTTGAGAAAACTCTCTCTGTAAATCTGAACCCCAAACTCCCACTGTCAATACTGGACACCAGTGTAGAAAAGGGAAACTGGCACATGGCTAATTCAAATAAAAAAGAAATAGTGGCACACACGACTACATAAATCTACTCCAAAGAAGAAGCAAGAATCTTGTAAGTCCATTCCTAGATGACTAAAAATCACAGCAGAGTCTCAAGAAATATGAGAAATTCAGGAAATACCCCTGAACAAAGGTCAAAAAGAACTCATCTCTCACAATGCAAAAAAGCAGAAGAAACCACCAAAATGTCAGAAACAGAATTCAGAGTCTTTATTATAACTAAGCTCAATGAGGTACAAGAGAAAACAGACAGCCAACTTTAGGAGATGAGAAAATCCTTCCATGGCTTAAAGGAGGAACTCCATAAAGAAGTAGACTCCATAAGAAAGAATCAAACAAAGCTTCTGGGGATGAAGACTATAATAAAAGAAAACAAAACTTCCCTTGAAAGTCCCAACAGCAGATTAGACCATGTAGAAGATAGGATCTCTGCTCTGGAAGACAAAGTCTCTGGTTTAAATGAAGCCACCAAAAAGAATGAAAAAATAACTTTTAAGAAAAATGAGGCTAACATAGGGGAAATACTAGATACCCTTAAACGCCCAAACGTCTGAATAATTGGTATTACAGAGTATAAAGAATCTAATAAGGGCATCGAAATTTATTCTATGAAATACTTGCAGAAATTTTTACAGATCTAAAAAAACATTCACACATCCAAACCCAAGAAATACAAAGGACCCCAAATAGAATCAGCGTAAGAAAATCTTCTCCATGGCACATCACAGCCAGATTACTTAAAATCACAAAGACAAGATTCTAAAACTGATAAGAGACAAATGTCAAGTTACTTAGAAAGTTTACACCATTAGGCCAACATCAGACCTCTCAACTGAAACAATGCAAACAAGGAAAGAATGGGAAGATGTATTCAAAAAGCTAAAAGAAAAACAATTTCAGCCAAGAATGCTATATACCCAGTAGGACTTTTCCTTCACATGGGAAGAACAAATGAAATCATTCTCAGGTAAATGAAAATTGAAAGAATTTACCAGCACCAGACCAACTCTTCAAGAAATACTGAAGAGGGGACCAGCAGTTGATGTAATGGCTATGTCGCTGAACTCCCATGTAGTTGACTGTGGTTCAAGTCACAGACCTGGTGGCTTAAACTCATGCTGGGCACATGTGTGTGTGTGCGCCCAAGATCCTGAGAGGAGAATGGAGGAGAAGGGATTGTGGCATGGCCATCCCCCCTGGGGGTGATTTCTCGCTTTCTCTCTCTCTCTTTCTGATAAGCACACACAGCCTATAACAAAAACCTCTCCAAAAAAAAAGAAAAAAGAAAAATACTGAAGGGAGTACTATATCAGGAAAACCACAGAGAAACAGAAATAACAGAATAACAGACAGTCACGGAAATGACTAACAAAATGACAGGGACAAGTCCACAAATACAGATAATAAAACTGAATGTTAATGGATTAAATTCTCCAATCAAGAGACACAGACTGGCTGAATGGATTTAAAAAAAAAAAACAAAAACAAAAAAAAAAAAAACAAAAAAAAAAGGAGCCCTCTATATGCTACCTACAAGAAATACAGCTAACACAGCTTACTGTTAAAGACAAACACACTGAAAGTGAAGGGCCAAAAAAGATATTTCAAGTGAGGGGGCCTGCAGGTGGTGTGGTGGTTGAGAGTGCTGGACTCTCACATGGCTGACTGCGGTTCAAGTCCGAGATCTGGTGCCTTGCTTTCTCACTCCCCCACCCCATCCCTCTCTGGTCAAATTAAAATAAATTAAAAAATAAAATTCAATAAAATAATTCTTTAAAGATATTCCAAGTGAATGGAAATTTTAAAAAAAGACTGGTTTCGTAATGCTTATATTAGACAAAATACACCTAATGACAAAAACCGTAAGTAGAGATAAAGAAGGACAGTATATATTACTAAAAGGGCTAATTCACCAAGAAGATATAATACTTATAAATCTATGTACCCTACACTGGGGCACCCAAACACATGACAGATTGACTGCTTGATCTAAAAGGAGAGGTAGACTGCTACACAGTAATCATTGGAAATCTCTACATTACACTATCTCCTGTGGACAAATCATCAAGACAGAAAATAAGAGATACAGGATCTAAATGATACCATAAGTTAGATTTGTCAGACATCTATAGAACTTTACACCCAACAATCACAAAATAGATATTTTTCTCATCGTCATATGAAACATTTTCAAAGCTTGACCACATGATAGGGTACAAAAGAAGCCTTTACAAATTCAAAGGATAGAAACTATACCTAGCATCTTCTCTGACTACAATGAAATTAAACTTGAAATTAATGCAGAAAAAAAATCCTCAAAAGTACACAAACATATGGAAACTAAGCAAACTACCAAACTACACCCAAATGACTTCACAACCATTGAAGAAATTAAGACTGAAATCAAAAGATTCATTGAAACCAATGCTAGATAGTGAGCACATGTGTTTCCATAAACTATGGAATACAGAAATGGCAATCATAAGAGGGGAGTTCATAGCAATTGGTGTTCACAAGAAAAAAAAGAGAAGGTGACAAATAGACAACCTAATAACACACCTCAGGAAACTGGAAAAACAACAAAAACCCCCCAAAAATGCCAGGAGAAAAGAAACAATACAGATTAGAGCAGACATAAATGAAATAGAGAATAAAAGCATAGAAAATAAATGAAACAAAAAACTGGTTCTTTCAGAAGATAAACAAAATTGTCACACCATTAGCTAGACTAATTAAGAAGAACAGAGAAAGAACCAGATAAATCTACTCACCAAAGAAGCAAGCAATGTTAGAACAGACATAACAGAAATACAAAATATCATCAGAGAATACTATGAGGAATGATATGCCAGCAAACCAACTTGAATGAGAGGGGTAAAAACCTCTGGACACATTATCTACCAGGATTGAACCAGGAAGACAGAAAGTCAGAATAGACCAATAACAAGTAGTGAGATTGAATCAGCAATAAATGATCTTCCAACGAAGAAAAGCCTGGGTCCTGATGACTTCACTTCTGAATTCTGCAAAACCTTTAAATAAGAGCTAACCCTCATTCTATTCAAACTTTTTCTGAAAACCCAGGAACCTTCCCATATTAATTCTATGAATCCTACATCATCCTCATCCCCAAAACAAAGACCTAACAAAAAAAGAAAACTCTACAGCGATATCCCTCATGAATACATATGCAGAAATTCTCGAGATACTAGCAAATCATATCCAACAACATACTAAAAAGAATGGGACCAGCAGATGGAATAATGGGTACGTTGCTGGACTCCCACATAGTCAACTGGTTTGAGTCCCAGACCCAGTTGCTTAAAACCAATGCTGAGCACATGTGCATGCATGCCCAAAATACTAAGAGGAGAACAGAGGAGAAGGGATTGGCTATCTCCCCCCAACACCCCAGGCAGAGGGTAATTTCTTGCTTCCTGTTTCTCTCTGTCTCTCTGGTGAGTGCACATGTCCTATAGCAAAATAAATCTCTCTTAAAAAAATTATTTTTCACCATGACCAGATTGGCTTTATTCCAGAGATGCAAGGGTGGATCAACATATGCAAAACCATATATATAATACATCATATAAATAAAAGGAAAGATCAAAATCATATGGTCATATCAGTCAGTGCAGAAAAAGTATTTGATAAAATACAACATCCTTCATGATTAAGACTCAGCAAAATTGGCATACAAGGTCCATTTCTCAACACAGTAAAAGCCATGTATGAAACACCCTCAGCTAATATCATACTGAATGATATGGAACAAGACAACTGGAACAAGACAAGACTGCCTACTTTCTCCCCTCCTCAACTAAAACAATGGGGCCCCAAATTTGCATTTATTCTTTTTTTATTTTTTAATTTGACCAGAGAGGGACAGAGCAAGAGAAAGAGAGGGAAAGTGAGAAAGCAAGCCACCATGTCTAGGACTCAAACCATGGTTAGCCATGTGGGAGTCCAACACCCTTAACCACCATGCCACCTGCCAGCCCCTCTCCCCTCCTTATCAATATAGTACTGGAAGTCCTAGCCAATGCAGGCAGACAGGATAAATAAAAGTATTTCAAATAGGGATAGAAGAAGTGAAATTATCTTTATTTGCAAATGACATAATTATATACATAGAAAACCTAAAAGAATCTGCAAAAAATTCTTGGAAGTGATAAATGAATATAGTGAAGTGGCAGGATACAAATCAACATACAAAAATCTGCAGTATTTCTATGCACCAACAGGGAAAAGACTGGGGTAGAGCTGAAGAAAGCAACTTCATTTACAGTAGCCACCATAAAATTAGAATACCTAGGAATAAAGCTAAGCAAAGAAGTCAAAGACCTCTGTAAGGAAAATTATGACAAACTTAGAAATGAAATTGAAAATGACACAAAAGAGTGGAAAGACATCCCATGGTCTTGGATTGGAATAGTTAATATAAGCAAAATGTCAATTCTGCCCAAATTAATCTTTATAAATAATACAATACCAAACAAATTACCAGGGATATTCTTCTCAGATCTAGAAAAAACAATCATAAAATTTTTCTGGAATCATAAAAGATCACATAGTGATAAAGCAATACTGCACAAGAAGAGTGGAGTAGGAGACATCTCATTCCCTGACCCCATAATATATTGCAAAGCTGCAATAATCAAAAGAGATGGTACTGGAACAAAACAGGTACATAGATCAATGGAACAGAATAGAGACCCTCAAAATAAACTCCAAAACATAACAGCCAACTGATTTTTTACAAAGGGCACCAGACAATTCACTGGGGAAAAGGAAATCTCTTCAGCAAATGGTCCTGGAAAGACTGGGTTTATCTGGTTTATAGCTAAATGTAAAACTTCAGAGTATAAAACTACTGGTGGAAAACACTAGGGAAATCTTGGAGATATTGAAGTAGGCAAGGATTGCTTAAATAAGACCCCTAAAACACAGGCAATAATCCCAAAAATAGACAAATAAGATTATATCAGGTTAAAAAGCTTCTGCACAACAAAAGAAACAGACAACTCTCAAAGGAATACATGTGTACAACCAAAAATCATATGAAAAAAAATGCTTAACATCCCTTATCATAGGGAGATGCAAATCAAAACCACAATGAGATACCACTTGAACCCAGTTAGAATGGTTAAGATTAAAAAAATAATAATAAAGAATGACAAGTGCTGGTAGAGTGATAGAGAAAAGGGAATTCTACACTGTTGGTGGGAATGTAAATTAGTACAGCCTCTGTGGAGAACAGTATGGAGATTTCGAAAAGACCTACAAATTGAATACCATATGTTCCAGCAATTCCACTTCTGAGTATCTACCCAAAGGTTAGGAATACACTTAGTCAGAAAAACACTTGCACAGCCATGTTTATTGTGGCATTATTCACAATAGCTAAGACATAGAACCTACCCAAATGTCCACAAAGAGACAAATCGATTGAATAGTGTGGAACAATTACAATACAGAATACTACTGAGCCATAAAAAGCATTGAGATCCTGGCATTTGATAGAAAGTGAATGAATATGAAAGATTTACTGCTAAGCAAAGCAAGTCAGACTATGAAAGAGAGACATGAGTCCCCACTTAATATATACTGAAAGTTTGCATTCTGTGATAGAAACTGAAATATTGGAAGGTATAAAAGTATGGAGAGCAACTGTGGATACCAGAGACATTGTGGAAGGAAGGTGGAAAATGGCAGAGGGTGAGAGGGAGGGAATCAAGGAGAAAACAACAAAGAAGTAAAATATATGTAAGAAACACAGAATGAAAAGTTATCTGTTGAACATAAGTATGGTAATATCTTTGGTTGAGCCAATATACAGTGTATTTTGGGTGGAAAAATTCATTTTGGATGTTGCAATGATAAAAATGAATAAACATAAAATAGATATAAAAAAGAAATATTATGACAATGAAATACAAATACAGGTTTCTAATGGATTTATAAGTTAAAATATCAATCCTGTGTGAAATCCATTTGCATTCATAAGAATTATAGGATATCCATAAAATTAGACAAATAAGACAATTTAAAAAAAATTGTTTTCACTAAAATTCAATCGTATTTAAATTCCATTTTTTCCCAAACTTTTAAATTTCCACTTGTATTTCCTAGTGCTACTGCCAACCACTTTTAGTGATCAACATTTGAGGAGGGGGTATCACTATGCGCCAGGCATTATTCCTTGAATTTTTAATATATCAATCGACTGTCATAGCAACTCTATGCTAAGAGGACTATTTTGGTGGTTCTCATGTTATAGATGAAGAAAATGGGCACTAACAGGTTATCACCTTGACAAAGGTTACAGACTGAGAAGGTGGCAGATGCATACACAAGTAGCCAGGTTCAAACTCTATATCTTATTTTGAACTTAATTACTAGTCCAGAGGAGGTGTGAACATGAGCAAGAGTTGAACATATCCTGTGCTGCTCCAAAAAACAATGGCTGTGATGTATCCCATTTGACTTAGGACAATCAGTAGAGGAGAATCAATTCCTCAAGGAGTATAAACTTCCCTTCTGACAGAGGATTTATAAGTTGTGTGTGTATAAGTGTGTGCAAAGTGCACATTAAATCTAATGGAAGTCATTATAGGGTATTACAACATCCAGGTTCCTTCTGCAATTTAACAGGAAATGAGATAACATATAACTGCATATTAACATTTCTTCATGTCTGTTTCAGATTTTATGCCTTATAAGGGAGACTGGGTAGAAATTGAATACTCTAGCCTTCCTGGCCCATGCAATATCAAGCTGCACTCAGCAAAGCCCTTGTTCCATAAGCATCTGGAGGGGGTAATGCATTTCTATATTTTGTTTGTCTTCCAATTTTTCCTTTTGTGTAATTTTCTAGGGTTCTATTGGGCATGCTGTGAAATGTAGAAAACATGTTTGCAAAGAAGAGCCAACATTCTCATTGAAAAGGCAGGACAAGCCAAACTGTGACATGGTGATAGTTAAGATTGCTGAGTCCTTCATGGCCAAGTGCATGGTTTGAGTGCTAGACCAAGCAGCTCAAGAGACACACCAGGCACATGTGCGTGTGTGCCCAGAATACTGAAAGGGGGAGGAGGGAATGGCAGAGAAGGGACTATAGCATGACCATTATCCAAAGGGGGAGCTTTCTCACTTTCCCTCTGTCTCTGTCTCCTTGTGGAGAGCAGACATACCCTCTGACAAAATTAATAAGGAATAGGCAGGTTCTCCAAAATGAAATAGAAAATAATAGAGATAGTGCACATTATTCAAATCTACATTATGTAGACCATTTAGTAGAACAGTTTTATTAGTTTGTTTTGAGAACAGGAAGAAAACATATTCATGTGTAAGAGATAGTTGAGGAAAAAATGGAGTATGATGAGAAACTTGAACTTACTGGTAAAATGGGATGTACTTTGGGTAGCATCATCTGAAAATGAGTAGGAAAGTAAGTGAAACAAAGGTTATTGTTGATGGTGGGTAATATTTAGAGCAGACTTTGTGTGTGGAGATCTGAGCCATATCCCTAGAGGTTCTAATTTGATTGATCTCAGGCAGAGTCTTTTCAAAGGCATGTTTACCAAGCACCCCTGGTGTTGGCATTATCCCAACCAGACTGGGATTCAGAGATGGGGATTCAGTGACCTGGAGGGTAGAGCCAGAGTGAAGAGGTGCTGAGCCTGTCCCAGGGCAGTCTGTTTGTAACAATCATTTCCATTATTCATTTCAGGTCTGCATCACAAGCCTGCGTGGAAGAAATGGGGTGGTAGATAATACTATCTTTTTCACCTTGGATTCCCTGAAACTTCCTGATGGATATAGTCCCCACAGATATGACATTGTCAGTGTTGTCATAGTGGGGAGTATTCAGTCATGCTATGTTTGGAGAGCAATTTCTATGACTCCACTGCCAAAATAGTTATAAAAATATTTTGTTCCCTGTTTATATGTTTTCTATGAGCACTAAATAGCCTAGTGAACTGAAAAGCTTAGCTTAGTAAGCATAAGTAATATTTAGGTACAACTTCATGGTAAATTCAGTTAAGATACCACATAGTTCTATGGAGACCAAGAACCCACTTTAGAGGATTATCCTATCCATTCAGAATCATGCTAAAGCTGCCTTGTTACTGAAATAAATGATTCTTAGAAATGACTCTTCAATTAAATTTAAATTCCTTGTTTTCTATGGCAAGGAATGGATTCTATGACAGCAGAGACCTGCAGTGGCTGTGACCTAACCATTAAAAGCATAGCATTTGACTTGAGTCAGGAGACCCAGCATATTAATGCCATGATTTAAAGTTACATTTTTCCCTCAACTTTGAGTCTGCCTGTTATACTTTCATTTTTATTCATAGCATTTATCATTTCTTGTCAGCTGGACAAGTTATTATATTTCTTGTTTACCCTGGTTTCTTCTTGCCCGTGATATGTAAACCTCACAAGGTAAGGGTGTTTTCTTAGGATGTTTTTTCATTAACACATAACCACACACTTAAAATAGTACATGGCACAAGTACTATGGTCAGGGTAAATGCTATGAAATTCAATAAATGAATGATGTGTTCAGCAGATGTTTATCTGTGTTAAATTCATTGCTTATGATAGGCCTATTCAGGTGATGATTCATTCCTTTTTTTTTTCTTTTTTTTTTACAAACATCATCACTGAACTAAATCACCTGGGGTTTTTTCATTTGTAATAATGAATAATTTTTCCTAAGTCTTAAAAGAATGTCAAGGGCCTACTGGTGGCATGGTGGTTAAGGTGGCTGGAGCCTGCATGACTACCTGCATGGTTTGAGTCTCAGATGTGTTGGCTTGAAAGCAATGCTGGGCACTTGTGTGTTTGTGTGTGTACACCTAAAATTTCAAAAGAAGTAATGAAGGAGAAAGGATAATGGAGTGGCCATCCCCCAAAGGAGCTTCTTTACACTTTGTTTTTTGCCAACTAACGTACACATTTTTTAAAAATAAAAATATCAACCACCAGAATCCGTTTACTTCCTCTGAGTATCCTAGCAGCAGTACACTTCAAATATTTTGACTCAGGAATGTACCATCTCTGAGGCTGTTGTAATTTGTAAGACAGCTTTCTTGGTCATCTCACCCTCATCAAGGCACCTCCTTTAACGGATATTGTGGTGCTGGGACCCTGGGAGCAGGATGTAGTGGCTCTAGTTAGAAACCAATGTCAGACCAATGGAAAAAATGGATGAATATACAGCGACCTGCCACCATGAGTTTCTGGGGCTCCAATGATGTCCAGAAGACAGTCCAAATGGCATATTGTGCGGGGTTTCAGAAGTTCTGATATATAGATAAATGGCCTTTAATTTACTTAGGGATAAATTAAATGAAGAAAAGGAGATAAATCAAGGGGAAAAAAGGCAAAAACATTTATCAGGCACAAAAAGGAAAAATGATCTGTTGATAGTATGCATGGTAACATCTTTTACTGGACTAGTATACAATGTATTCATGCTGGGAAAATTCATTTTGTGTGCTGTAAAGATGTACAATGATTAAAAGTTAAAAAATAGTGTTAACATAAAGTAAAAACCACACTAAAAAAGAGCAGTTCTAAGGTATATTCCTATGTTGATTCATTAAAGACAAATGATTATTGATGTAAGAGGAAGAGAAGCAACGATTGTAGGAGACCAGTCTTCATGGAGACAAAAGGTAATAGTTCCATGTGATCAATGGTGAGGTTAGACTGACAGAAGGCTTGGCCATCCTTCTAGTGTTACAGAAGGGAAAGCAGAGCAAACTAAGATAGGAGCCAGGAGGTTTATACAGAAGCTCCTCTCCTGGCTGGAGGCTAGTGTAGACTGGCTTCCAGAGTCCAGCTACACATCTTCCCTAAATGCATTTTTTACCTCTCTCTTTGTCCCGGATGTCCTCTACTCCACCTCAAGAAGTACACAATTGTGCAACAAACAACAGCTTTTTCTACATTGTCAAATGCCACCATAACATTGCATTACATACTATTCAACAAAATAGGACAACTACAAAATAGAAGTGATAAAGAGAAATGAATGTATTAGTCTTCCAAGCTGAGCACACAATAAGAGTCAGACCCTGGCACATGTATTCAGAGACCACCAGCATAAGAGCCAGGAAGAAGTGTTAGACCTATTGGTCAGCTCTGATGGAAGGAGCTTCTTTTTTTATTTTTTATTTTTTGGAGAGGTTTTTGCTATAGAGCACGTGCGCTTGCCAGACAGAAACAGAGAGACAGAAAGTGAGAAATCACCCCCCAGGAGGGATGGCCACGCTGCAATCTCTTCTCCTCCATTCTCCTCTCAGGATCTTGGGCACTCACACACATGCGCTCGGCGTGAGTTTTAAGCCAAGGGGTCCAGGATGCGAACTGCGGTCGACTACGTGGAAGTCCAGCGACATAGCCATTATGCTAACTGCTGGTCCCAGAAGGAGCTTCTTTTAAACTAGAAAAAGAGGTATGCATGTAAGGTGTTTGGAAAGACTTCATATTGGTCCAAGGTAATATAGGATGGTCATTGGGAAATGCGAGAAGGAACAGAATCACAAAACAAGCCTATCAGCAGAAGTTTCCCAGGGCAGTTTATTGGCACAAGGATAATTGGTCCTTTCTTGTTGGTGTCAGCAAGGTATGTGCTCATCCTTAAAGAGGGTTGGTGCCAGAATTTCTCAGAAAAAATCTTCATGAAACTCAATCACACTGAAAATAGGAAGTAAGCAGACTATCAGCAGCCCTTTGTCCTCCTCCTCTTCTCTTGCCTTGTTTATCAAACAAACCACTTCTCTGGATAAACTTTCTTTTCCCAATAATAATGCCACATATCTGAGGCAAAGCCAAGCTTCCACGTACACTTTGGCCTGTAAGCAAAGGCTGGGTCTAGATCTGCTTGGAATCTCTGACTTTTGAGATCTTACAGTAAACCTGTTTGTTTGGTCCTGAGTGACCATATAGTGGTTAAAGGACTGGACTCCCACATGGCTAACAACAATTTGAGTCCTGGATCCAGTGGCCTAAAACTCATGCCAGGCATGTGTGCATGTGTGCCCAAAATCTCAGGAGAAGAATGGAGGAGAGGAAATTATAGAGTGGCCTTCCCTCCTGAGGGAATGATTTCTCCCTTTCCTTCTCACTGTCTCTCAGGCAAGCACACACACCCTAAGGCAAACATCTAAAAATAAAATAATAAGAATGACTTATGCAATAGAGTCAAAGTACACATTTCATTGTCAAATTGTTCTGGGAGGAAGGGTGTTGACTGGAGTGGGTTAGATTTTGGAGTAGCATCTAAGGCGGCGAGGTTATGTCTCTTCTGTTTCCTTTGGGGGCTTGAACCTACTTTAGATAGCCTGAGTCAAATTACAAATATTAAAAGTTGAGGGACCAGCAGATGGCATAGCAGTTACGTCAGTAGACTCCCACATAGTTGACCACAGTTTAAGTCCTAGACCCAGTGGTTTCAAACTCATGCTGGGCACATATCCATGTGTGCCCAAAATCCAGCTGTCTCTTCTGTTTCCTTTGGGGGCTTGAACCTACTTTAGATAGCCTGAGTCAAATTACAAATATTAAAAGTTGAGGGACCAGCAGATGGCATAGCAGTTACGTCAGTAGACTCCCACATAGTTGACCACAGTTTAAGTCCTAGACCCAGTGGTTTCAAACTCATGCTGGGCACATATCCATGTGTGCCCAAAATCCAGCAAGGAGAAAGGAGAAGGGATTGCAGTATGGCCTTCCCCCTGAGGGGTGATTTCTCACTTTCAAAAAAAAAAAAAAAAAAAAGTTGATACAGAGGTCCTTAATGAACCACTCATGAAAAATCTCTTCATAAACAATGTATGTAAAGAATTCCCGTGTCGGGACCAGCAGTTAGCGTAATGGCTATGTCGCTGGACTCCCACGTAGTCGACCGTGGTTCGCGTCCCGGACCTGGTGGCTTAAAACTCACGCCGGGCACGTGTGCGTGCATGCCCAAGATCCCGAGAGGAGAATGGAGGAGAAAGGATTGCAGCATGGCCATCCCCTCTAGGGGGTGATTTCTCACTTTCTGTCTCTCTGTCTCTCTCTGTCTGGCTGGCAAACACATGCACCCTATAGCAAAAACTCAAAAAAAAAAAAAAGAATTCCCATGTCTAGGTCACAATAGAGGCCATATACATGCCTGGGACAATATTTAAGTGACTCTAGTACACCCTCTAGGCTAATAAATGATATCTATTGGGGCATCAGAAAAGTCATGATGCATTTTTTGCATAGAAAAATACGTCATGACTTTTCCGATGACCCAGTAGAATAGGGAACCCTCTACAATGTTGGTAGGATTGTAAATTGGTACTCCCGTTATAGACTACAGTGTGGAGATTCCTCAGAAAAGTTACATAGTAGTGTCATATGACCCAGCAATTCCAGTTTTGGATATATAGCCCAAGGGAAAAAAAGCAGAATGTCAAAGAAATATCTGCATTCCCATGTTCTTTGCAGAATTATTCACAGCAGCCAGGGTGTGGAGACTACCTAAATGTCCATCAACAGATAAATGGATGATGAAAATGTAAGAGATATATAGAATGGAATATCATTCAAACATAATAAAGAATAAAATCCTGTCATTTAGACAACATGAATGAGGGGCCAGTAGATGGCCTAGAAGTTATTTTGCTGGACTCCCACATGGTCAACCACAGTTCAAGTCCTAGACCCAGTGGCTTCAAACTCACACTGGGCACATGTGTGTGCTTGCCCAAAATCTCAGGAGGAAAATGAAAGAGAAGGGATTGCGGTGTGGTCATCCCCCCAGGGGGGTTTCAGGGGTGGTCGCCCCCCCGTGGGGGGGGGGGGATGATTTCTTGCTTTCTGTCTCTCTGCCTCTCTCTGTCTCTCTGGTGAGCACATGTGCCAATAGCAAAAATCTCTCTCTCTCAAAAAAAAAGAGACAACATGGATCAACATGGAGAATATTACGTTAAGCAAAAACAAACCAAAGAAAACAAATGCTGTATATCACCTGTATGTGGAATCTTAAATATAAATCAGTAGAGAAATAGGTCGAACCCTTAGAGA